ACTGCTCTTTTTGTCTCTGAAGTGCTCGATGACAAATGGCTTCCTCCCTACACCCCCTTCTTTTCGTTCCCATTCTCCTCCCCGCTGGGTGGGTGAGCTGTGCTAGAAGCAAAATGAGGGCTGAAGATGCAATCAGTGAAGAAGAGATGGTCGCTGCCGGAAAGTGATTCCCGTGTGAAACGTGAACCCAAACGACCCGAATGCAGTGTACTTAATAGTCTAATAGCGCGTGCATAATTAGGGTGCCATGCAGTGGTGGAGAACCACCAACTTCGGAGAGTCTGGGGGCCAAGGAAGGCTTCACAGTGATGGTCAATTCTAAACTGGGAATTGACAATTGAGGAGGTATTCACCAGGGCCAAAGAAAGAAGAACATTTTGGTATGAGAGAAAAAACCAATCACGGACATGTTGGCATGACATAGAAGAGGTCCCTGACACATCTGAAGACATAAATAATTCAGCCTCATTGGAACACTTGAGTATGTGTAGGAGTAGGTGTGGAGACAGAGACAGATAGAAATTAGAGGCAGGTGTCAGATGTTTGAGTTCGTATCTTGATAAAGAACTTTTCTAGTCCCCTCTCTGTCAAAGGGAAGCATGGATAGGCAACAAGGTCCTGCTGTGTAGCACAGGGGGCTGTGTTCAGTGCCTTGCGATGGGCTGTAATGGAGAAGAATGAGAAGAGAATCTGTAGACAGGGATAACTGAATCGCTGTGCTGTGAAACCCTGTGCTCTGAAACCCACCTCTGAAGTCTCTCAGGAGGATTCAGTCTAGATCTTCCTCACCTCTGGTTTAGGATCTCGATCCGCGCTAGAACAGGGCGACCGTGATTTTTATCTGCTCGCTGAACTCTGACTTCATTACTCCTGGAATGTCATCATCCTGTGGCCTCGTGTGCACTCCACATATAGAAGTATCGCAAGAATTTAAAACTTTATTTCCAACTTTGATCACCCTTTCAGGGCATAAGCTATGAAGAGCGATCCAGGATTTCTGACAAATAGCAGTAAAAGTGGTGTCTACATTTTTAGATGAAATTCAGAAAGTAGAAAGAAGCTTCTATTTATGTAACCCTGTATCAGAAACTCTGTTAATATATAATGTGTGAATCACAAAGGCGATGCTGTGTTTTGTCTTAATTAGGGAGAGGCAGGATCGGCAACCTATTTGAAGTCCTTTGAGAAGTTTTCTGTCTCAGTGTTACTTTGGGAGTGTCTACCTTTTTCACGGTTCAAGTGTTGGGAGAAGTCATAGTGAAACTAACACCTTAAGTTCTGTCAAGATGGATCATTGTCCTATAAACTTTTGTTCTGCTGTCTTATCACTTTGAAAACTAAACAGGCTACAACTGAAACAGGAAAGAGAGCAGCAAAATGTGGGGAGCAAAGGTATGTTGGTTAAGGAGCAGTGGCAGTTGGCTAAACCCTAAATAAATCGGCACCAAATGCACGGAGGAGTGGAGCGTGGAGGAGGGGCTTCGTAAGGGTCAGATCCAGAAAAACACTGACTTTTGGTAAGAAAACTGAACGTCTTGTCAGTTACAATAAGTATCAAACTGAATGTGTTCAAGTTCTAGATTTTACCGTCTTGGGGAGCGTAATAAAGTCATTGGGATATTAATGCTATCTTGCCCTCTGAGTTCCTCTTTGAAAAGTAAAGATTCCACACCTCTTCCTCTACCATTTTCCCCTCCTTGTAAGGTTGATGACATTTTCTGTCCCAACCTCTTGTTTCTGCCTCTTCTGACGATGCCGCGCCCACAGCACTTGTTCATACCAAGTGTTGCTCATGCCAAAACCCCACCTCCTGAATCTCCAGATTCTTTACACCATGCTGGACGCCCTTCTCCAAACCTGGGGTTTCAGAGCAACAGTGGATGTGTTTGGGGCCCCAGAGCATCCCTTAGGGAAATGGTCCCTTTCGAGCTTAGCTTTCTTCTGTCTCCCTTGGCACAGAGTCAGGGCTTGAGGCAGATGGAGAAGGACAGCATGTGACCTCCTGCATTTCCCTTCTTCCCTGGTCTTCCCCAGGGTGACCTTGCAGAAACAAAACAAAGCAACACAGCTCCTCTCCCCCTTTAGACTCCCCCAAAGGTCTTCACGCAGCAGGTCCAGTGGGCCGGGGGGGGGTGGGCAGTGGATTCCAGCTGACAGTTCTTAAGGTCGACTGTCAAGCATTCGCTCACAGGCACAGTTCCTGAGGGGCTGCCTCACTCGTGGCTGTTGGTCACATTGGCTTCTGTTACGTTCTGGGCCGTGAGCTGGGACTTTATTTTCCCAGAGCCTTATTCTATAAGGCGGGGTACAGCCTTTAGGATAATGCATTTATCTCTTACTAAAACATCTGAGTTTTGAAAAGATTCAAAGAAACGAAAGGAACAGAGACGACTATAACTACCACCCCCACGTGTAACGAACATTACCATTTGCCGATACCTGCTTCCCACTATTACTTATTTCAGAATCAGGATTCACTGGAGGCCTCCTTAGGATGTCTGCCTTATCCCTTCCACTCTCAGTGATAACCACCGTAACATAAGGTTGCATCTCTCCTTTCACAGCATGTGTAATAAAAATGCATGGATGTTTAATTATGCACAGTACTCTTGTGCGTTTAAAAATTTCTTACAAATGACGTCTCTTTTCAGTTTGCTGTTCCCAGTCAATGCTTGATGTCAGGGCTTATTCGCTATAATATACTGTCTGTTTCCTAATTTATATCCTTCAGTTCATTTTATCCCATCCAGATGTATTATCTGTGAACCTGGGGTGAGCAGGTGACAGTCCTGAGTTAGAGGGCTCTGAATAGGTCTGGGTTAGAGCTGAAAGAACTCCCTTAACGTAGCTATTATTCCTGGGTTAAATATAACACTTGTTATTATTAACTCTTGGAAAAGTCAACCTCACAAGAAACAAATCTAACTGTAGAGACACAAAGACATTCCTGGGTCCCCAGTGTCCTCAGGCTCCTAACCAGGATCTCCTCCAAGCCCTAGCTAATGTCTCAACTCACGGGTGGGGACTGGAAAATTACATTTTACTAGAGTTTGACAAAGCATTTGCCAAAATGGCGCATTTCCATTTTCGCTCCATCTATAGTAGAAGGGTTCCTTTCTTATTTTCCCCACATGCTCAATAAGATGGATATTTTAAGCTTTAATTTGTTTGCCCATTCCCCCAACAGGTTTGAAATGATATCTTATTGTTCACACTGTAATTTTTTCCAATCATTGGTGAACTCAAGCGTCTTATGTATTTATCAATAATATGGGATTTCCTTTTTGTGAACTGCCTTTCCAATCCTTCGTCTGTTTTTCTATTTTTTCCCTAATTGACTTAAAGGACTATTGATCTTACCTACATGTGGGAGTACCAATCATTGGTCAGTTATACAAAAGGGATGAAACTTTGCGCAGCTAAGTGCCATCGTATCAATCTGAAATCGTTGACGGTCATGATGGCAGCTTAGACAGCAAATGGAATTAATATTATTTAGAATGTTCAGTTTGAGAAAAGAAATGAATTTGCAGTTTCATTTAAGAAAAGTACTCAGACGAAAATGTCAAACACATCCAAAAATGTTTTCATGTTTAAGGAAGTAGATTTCAGCTCTCTGGATCATGTAGCACGTGAAACAGTCTATTCCCATCACAAGTGGATAGCTGAAACGGTCTGAGTTTAACGTGGTGGTTTTTAGAAATATATTTTTATTTGATTCATATCTGCAGCAATATGGCTCGGTGTCTCCAAACTCCTTTTATATAAAACGCAGTTCAAAGGCCCAAATGAAAAATTCAAATAGCGTACAGAGCCAGTCTCAGTAATTTACTCACAGGAGGAAATTCACCTCTTGCCATGCTTTCGTTTTGACCATTTCTAGTGAAAGACTGGTTACTCCATTTTCCTCCGGCCCTTCTTTTTTAAAAAAAAATAATGTTTGACTTTTCCTAGCAGAAATACATTTTTCTAGGAATGTTTTATCTTGAATATTCTGACCCTAGGGAGTAAAGTAATTTAGCAGAGTTTCTCACAATCGGGATTAAAACGGATGTTAATGTATCCTTGGAGGATAAAAATGACTGTACCAACGAATCAGGCGTGAAAGTTTAAAAATGGAAATAGATGAATGATGTTTCTCTCTGATTGTCCTTGTAAATAAAATGAATCGTGTTTTTGGCTTCCATTTGCCATATGGATTGACTATTACAAGGTAACAGCTGAAAGATTGAATTTTCATTTTTGAGCGTCAGTAAATCGGCAGTATTTTTAAAGTAGCCAGTGGAAGTATTCCAGATATTCCACTGGGTTTTCTTTCCGCCGTCTTCCAGTGTGTCCTTGCTGAAAGAGGAGTCTGCATTTTAAATACATTTTTAATTTTAATTTAATATTTAAATAAATAATTCAAATCCGTTTCAAAATGTGTGTATATCTGTGTGCGTTTTATCTTGCAATCAACAAACCTGGTAAAATGGAACTACATCAAATTTATCTTTGAGTCCGTTGATCTCTTTTCATAGCCTTTCTGCTGGAAAATCCTGGGGTCTCCCCTCTCCCCTCTTAGGCAGTCTTTCCACATTTGTGTGCATGAGCCCATTAAATCCCAATTTTATAGACAGAGAAACAGATTTAGAAGGGTTCAGGAGACTTGGCCAAGGGTTCACAGCTAGGAACTAGCAGAAGTTGAACTCAGCTCAGGTTAGGGTAACATGAAATCTGGACTCACACACAGTATTTATTACCGCACTACCTTGCGCAGGTTTCCGAAACTTGCTCTGTTGCATGCCATCGCCATTCAGGGAGCAGCGGTTTGCCTCCCCTGCTGCAGGTGAGTAGCACAAAGACCACTAAATTGGATCCGCCCCAAACTGGACAGGTGGGCGCCCGGCTCCACTGAAATGTTGGAATGTCCACAGCCTGCCGCCTCCTCTAGGGGCCGCCACAAGGGAGCATGGAAGGACGGCTGCCTAATCCACTGCTTTTCACTTTGTTCGACCCAGTGATGCCGCGCTTTGCTGAGCAAGTAGAGGTTGCCATCGAAGCCCTGAGTGCCAGCGTCCCTCAACCGTTTGAGGAGAACGAGTTCATCGACGCCTCCCGCCTGGTGTACGACGGCGTTCGGGACATCAGGAAGGCCGTGCTGATGATCAGGGTATGTGCGCCTCTGGAGCTCAGAGCTGGTTGGAGCTTCGCGTAAGGACCCCGGAGAATTTACTGGTTGTGTTTTAATTATTTAGTTTTACGTGGTAAATCAGCGCAGGGGTGCCTCTGCCATTCTCCACATGCTCCTCTTGCTAACGCTATTCCCCAAGAGGATAAGAAAGCCACAGAATGGAAAGAGACGAGATTACTCCACTTAGTAGCAGTGACAGTGATGATAGTCATGATGATGATGATGGTGACAATAAGGCGATTCCTGGCTACATTCTCCTGGTAAAAGGTAATTCAGACACTATAAATAAAGCTGAATAACCTTTCAGCAAACCTCTCCCTGTCGCCTACTCCACCAGCTTCCCAACCTCAGTCTTCTGTTGTCGGGTAGATCTGAGCCTCCCAAACCATTGCTTTTGCCATTATATGTAGACACACTAGAAAACGTAATACAGGAGACTTTAAAACTCATTTCAGCGTTAGTTGCAACTTGCTTTTCTCACTCACAGTGTGCCTTCATCTCTCTCTATTCAGACATGTAGCTTACTGCATTCCATTTAACTGCCGTGTAATATTCCATAATAAGAGGAGAATTTTTTTTTCTCCTTGCCTTATCAACAGTTTGGCCTAATAGTTTCTGAACAGTTTTTTAAGCCACAGAATTCTTTCTTCAAATAAACTTCAATGTTCAAAAGCATAATCGATGACACAGAGGCGGACGCGATGCTTCAGCAGCGCTAGTCCTAAAGCATGCTATCCAATAGAAATATCATGGGAGCCACGTTCATGATTTGGTATTTCTAGTAGACACATTGACAAAGCAAAAAAACAGCTGAAATTAATTTTAATAATATATTTTATGTAACTGAATGTGTCCAAAACTATCATTTTGACGTGTGGCACTAGCCACAGTTAAAGTGCTCAGTAGCTCCATGTGGCTGGTGGCTGCCATATTGGATGAGGCAGCCCTGGGCTGTATCCCCATCCTCAGCCTCCAGAGTTGTCATCTCGGAGGCAGCTCAACAGAATCACAAGTTATCTTCTGAGTGCATCTTGAAAAACTTTCTCTAACATCCCTTCAAACACTGCAAAACAATAAATAATTCATCTTCTGTGTGTGGTCCCTCAGATGTTTCAAGAAGTATCTGTGATACATGGTTCTCTCCACACAATACACACCAAGTTCTACAAGGATTTTATATATGGCATTAATTCTTCCCCCAAATCCTGGTATCTTTGAAGTCAATAAACCTATGCCTGGTCCTCTTCAGCTGTGGTACCCAGAACACAACATGATGCTTCCAAGGTGACCTGAGCAGGTGGAGGAGAGCATCACCAGAAAGAGTCTCTCTCCCCTTTCTGTTGACATTAGAGCTTGTCCTGAAACATCCACTGAACTTCTTCACTCGGGAGCACAAATAGCATCTTCTGATCTCATCCTTAAGCAGCTTGACTGTTCTCAAATTAAATACGTCTTTCTTTCATAATAACTCCATGATTAATTCAGAGCCTTGCATAAATCGTGTCAGACAATGCTAATTAACTGTAACAATGTGACGTTCAACTTTGGACTTTGGAGACTGTCAGATGTATTTCCTGTTCTTCTAACTTGCCCATTTTTGATCTGTCAGACTCTTAACCATCTTTAAAGACCTGTTTCAAATCTTCTTTCCCTCAATTTTCTCCCTCCAAAATATTGACCCTATTCTTTAACTCCTTGTAACTCCTTCTGCTTATGATAGTATTTATTACGCTATTTTCTTGTATGTCTGTTACCTTCTTTAGACTGATATTTGGGAAAGCAAAGGCTGTCTTTTTTTTTTTTTTCCTTCACTATGGTGTGTTGTCTGGCAGTGTTTAATACTATGTATGTTGGGGGAAAAGAAAAGCAGTTACCTATAGAGATAGGAAGGAGACAGAAAAGATATGAGAACTGGAGGAGAAGGTAGTCAGCCTTTTAAGCACATAACAAATTACATCATTTTTTCCATTCTATAGTAACTTGTGAAATAAGGTAATAGACCATGAGAGTTATGTTTTCAAGGCATTTGGCACTAAATTCCACTATAATCCTCAAGACATATTCCCTCTTTTGCCATTTTTCTGCTTTGTTAGCCTTCACATTTTTGTGACAACTATTCATCTGGGAGGCTGAGGAAGTTCATAGCCATCATTCATTTATTCATTCACGAGCTGTAAAAAAAAACATAATTTTAGATAAAAATGCCGTATCTTTGTTACATGAACTGTCATCCCTCCATCTCAACATTTCTAGTGATTTGATCGGATGGATTTCACACCACTTTTAAAACTTAGGAAGGGAGAAAAGTACAGTATGTAAAAATTGTTATTTTTAAAATCTTTCTCCACTCAGCACCCAGCGGCTTCATTTTGTACTGAAATTCTTGGTTTACTTCTGAGTATAATGATTAAGTCTACTTAAAAAAAAATTGCACTAAATCAGAAAGAAAGATAAGTAGAGCTCTTTCCCAGCAGAACTAGACTTGCCTCCTTCCCTCCCAAAGTGTTGATTATGCTTTGGAAAAGTAAGAAAAAAAATTTGTTTTTTGCAAAAATAAATGCAGAAAGGACCTTGAACAGTCAGATCCTTCATCAACCTGCCTCTCAGCAATCAGTGCATATTTAATGGCGATGTGAGTATCTAGGCACTGCAGGCCAGCTCCAGGCAACCCTCTGAAGCAGGCAGAACTTGCCCTTCCTGTGCTCCAGCCTCACCTTCGGGACCCTACGTCTCTCTGGGAACAGGTCTGCTCCGTGTCTCTTCCATAAGACTAGTTTTTGCCTGCTTCTTACTAAAGCTTGTCCTTGGTGATCTGTCGGCCTCCTCAGAATTTTCTGATCACCCCAACGTGGTGGTTGAAAAAAGAAACAGGCAAGTCTGGCACAACAGCATGCACTGGATTCCCATTGTTTGCAGTGGTTTATGGTTGACGATGTTGCTGTGAAACCTGAACTGGAGAGTTCTGAAACAGCGCTCCTAGGGGAAATGCAGGGTTAGGCTCCTGTGAGCCTCGGGCCACGTTTCCATCAACTGATGAATATGTTAGTTTGTTTCATGTGTGTTTCTGTCTAAAGACACTTTATTTAATATGTATTATTGATACATTAAGGTGGAACGCACGGCCGGCGGTAACTCATGCCTGAGGGAAACTTATCTAAGAAGTGAGTTGTTTTCTGGAACATCACTACCTTCTGACATCTAAGAACCCTAAACAACAGTTCAGAAGAACTACATTTGGAAGCATTTTAAGCAGAGAAATAACCATAAGAAAGCACAAAAATGGGGAAAAAATGTGGCTCTCAATAGACGGCAGAAAGGATTCTTGTTTATAGGTTAAAAGTTGAAATAAGAAAGCAGAACGCTGCACTGTTTGCCTTCAGCTGGGAATATGCACATTGAGTGACTCAAAAATTTTGCCGCATTGCACATGTTGGTGAATAACTGCAAAAGGATTGATTTGGGGATTACAGAGACACTTTGGCCAGTAGGCAAATTCACAAAGGATCTGCAAATAAGGAGGAGCAAGTGTGTAGTCAAGGCACAAAGTGTTGAACATTTAATGTTGGAAATTTAAGTAAGTAGGTAGGCTACAAGGCGGTAATATCTTGGTGTCAGTATATCCATGTTCAACAGAACAGTAGTTGCTTTTCCTGGAATGACCCTGAAAAAAATCTATAATGATATCTATACACTAAAGTTTTGTAATTGGAACCCATTAATTTGGCCACATACGAAACTTTTGAAAGCAAGGCAGAGAAACAGTAGGGCCTAGGGCAGGGTTCAGGGTTCAGATAAAGTTCTGCAGCTTAACTTCACATCTCCCAAACTGGGCGTGACGATGCCCTGGAGCATTGCAAGTTATTCCAAAATGTCAGGGGAAACACAGACATCTCTCAGATACCACGTGGCGTGTGAGCTGAAGGTAGTTCACAGTTCAAACGTCAGGTGGGTACGTTCCTTTTGGTGATATGTTGATCACATCACGTGTTTGTGATACAGGGATTCTGGTGATAAAAAGCAAGCGCCATGGACGTGCAGTTGTATTCCGAGGTTTGAGAAGGACTGTAACGGTGCAGCAGGTGCTAAACTGTTACGGCCAAACAACTTAGCCCATGTTTATGGTCCCACTGCTTAATCAACAGCACTGTTAGTTTTGCTTTGTTTTTTATTCTAGAGGCACCATGGAAAAATTATGGAGACAATGCTTGAAGCAGTGAAGTTTGGGGACCTGTGGCTTAACCATTTTGGGGTCATCAACATGCTATTTTCCTTCTCGATGCCTCGGTTTCCTGATCTGTAAATGCGGACAAATATGACCATAAAGCTCTAGTACAGGCCTGGCCCTAGTAGAGTCCCAGGAAATCTCTCCTTTTCTCATCCCGCCAGGACGGAATTTATCTCCGTGCCGCCAATTAATGAAACAGAATTTGTTAAGTAAGTCAGCAGTATTATCAGAATTGCAAGGACTGGAGTCAGAATAGTTGGCATAGCTAGAAAATTAAGGGTTGAAGAGACTTCAGAAACACCTTAGGTGACAACATCGATTTACCTATTACAGATTGCTGTTGTCAGCGTGGTCCCATGAGGTCACTAGCTTCGTTTTCTTAACTCAATTAGAAATAATTTAATATGGTTTTTAAAAATGTTTTTGGTAATTTGATGTTGGTTATTCGTTTATCAAATATTTGTTGAATGTTTACTAGGTGCCCTGAAAACAGACATGAAGAAAATCACGGAAATTGGTCCCAATCCTCAAGGAATTTATATTCCTTTGGTGGGAAACAGAGAAGAAACAAGTACATGTAATATGCTAGTTACTGTGCCATGGAGACAGCCAAGGCGGTATGAGGGAGCCGGAGCGCAGGATGGCTGTGGATTTAATGAAGGGTGGTCCCTGGACGACATTTAAGGGAAGACTTGGAGGAGGAGGAGGAAACAAGCCATATGAGTATTAGGGGACGTGTGTTCCAGGCAGAGAGGAGGGCACAGGTGCCCTAGAACCCACAATGAATGAGAGATGGGAGTCACTGAAGGGTTTGGAGCAGGAGAACCACATGATCTGAGTTAGATCTTACACGGGCCATCCTGGTTATGCTGGTGAGAACAGAACGTGTGGGGCAAGGGCAGAAGCAAAGAGCTATGTAAGTTAGGAGGCCTCCAGGGCAATGAGGATAGAGATACCAGTGGCCAGTTGGTCCTTACTGGGGAGGTTTTGTTCTGTACTGGCATTCCAGTGATGTAGAGATCTGCTGGGAAGTCCTTCCTCATGCATCTCCCAAACTCCTGTTGCAGTGACCAACTTATGTCCTCATCTGTCTGCTCCCAATGGGACTCACTTACATTTGAGCCATTCCTTTAAATGATCCTTAATACGTTTTTTCACACGTCCTGGTGAAACGACTCTAAATTCTTGTGCCTTTTCTCACTTTGCTTCTTTTCAGAAGCTGTTGTGGAGAAGACTGAGAATTTGGTTAGGAACCAGGGCAGGTGATTGATCGTGTTCTGCAAATGATACACAGTGTGAACCTTGTACAAGTCCCGTGATGTTCTCGGGCCTCTCTGATAAGTGCAAATTAATCTGATAGACGCTTGGAAGGGAGAGACTTGAAAGGCCAAATAGTAGAGCCATAGAACCAAAAGCAGACCAAAGTGGTTCTTTATTGTTGTAAAACGGCCGTCCCTGAGAGCACATAAGGGCGGAACTGAGGCTTGACCTTCAGTCTCCAGTCCTCCCATCCAGTGAGCTGCACCCTTTTTTTTTGTTGCTTTTACCCTATGACATTATCTAATTATCTCCGGGCGCACTTGCAGACCTTCGCTATTTCTCCACGTCTCTTTTAGTTTGAGGAGGTCGTGACCAACCGAAAAATGACACCTCACACTTAAATTTAAGATGAATAATTAAGAAAATCACACCATGAACAGGCAACACACGTGCCGTTAGGAAATGTCACGTGCACAGCGCTATGGATATGCGTGGCTTGAGCGAATTTGCTACGTGGTTAAGGCACAAGAAAATATTTTAATCTCATCCATTTGCCTGGTAGAATTTGTGTCGGCTAAAATCTCTGGAACTGTTGACTTGCTAGACGTGGTACCTTGGAAGATTTACTTAACAACTCTGAACCTGTTTATGTACATCTATAAAACTGGGATGAAATTTATTTCATTGGGTCGTGGTGGGGATTAAATCCTTTAGCTGAATGCCTGGCCCACAGTGGGTGGTAAACACTGATGCTACGTCGGTGATGATGATGACTGTAGTTGTTATTAGGTGCACATTTTATTAGTGAGCATAATAATCTCTGTAACTTATTTAGTTTTATTGTTTACAAAGCATTTTCACTTGTATTTGATCCTAGAATGCTGTGATGCAGACAGGGCAAGTCACATTTATTGTCTCCATTTTATAGAGTGAGGTGACAGAGAAGCAGAAAAGCTTAAGTGACTTGTGAAAGACACACAGCCTGTCAGTGACATTCAGGCCCCGTGGGTCCACATGCAGGTTTTTTTTTTCATTTTTAAACTTTATTTTGGTTCCTGAGCCGTAGCCACTCGAACACAAGCTCGTCATTACGAGCCTCATGCTGCCGGCTCGTGTTTGCCATTGACTCATGTCTGAACGCGCCGAGCACTGAAATGTTTGGACACAGTATTATAGGCACTGTCATTTTCTCCTTTTTCCTGTTGAGTGAGGTTTTCCATTTTCTGTTCTCTCTCCTTTTCAAAAACTAATGATGAAAAGTGTGTGCAATCTTGTCATCTCCTCTGTCAGCAGAATTTACCAACTCGCTGTAATTGTGCCTCTGCACACTCCAGGAGAGTGAGAAATGAGCCGAGATGCTTGCCTCTGTCCACAATGGAAGCACCACCAGTGAAGTGAACCAGGGTTTGCCCAGCGCGCCCCCTGCTTTAGTTAATAAAGCAGGGAACAAAACCTCTGTCTTCCCTCTTTCTTTTAATATCCCTGTGCAAGAAAATTGAACCTCTGTAGATGACTGAGTGAATGTTAATCAGGTTGATGGTGAGAGAGAAAGGAAACAAGAGGAATGTGCCAAAGCTTGGAAAATCCCTGGGCGTCATGTGATATTGGCACCAAGGACCCCATTTTATGCCTGTCTGACCAATCTCGAGACTTCATCAATAATGTACTTGATTCATTGCCCCGAGGCAGCCAAGGAAGCCAGCAGAATGGAAATGTGTCCTTTTAGGTGGGGAGTGGGCAACTGCATACTCAGTGCTGCGTGTGATCCGTTCCTTCCTTTTGAAAAACAGAGCCCTGGGAGGTGGTACAACTGTGTGCCAAGAGCCAGGTTGTGGGTGACCGTCAGCTTTCAGACTAACGACAGCTGAGCTTAGAATCTCAGACTGATGCACTGTCTTCCCTTCCTGCGCCATCCTTGCCACCTCCTGAGTCCCTCCTCTTAGAATTAGCAGAGCATGGTAGTTTCGAGTGCATGCTTCAGACTGCCTGCCTTAGAAGACTCTGAACGAGGTATAACCTCTCGTGCCTCAGTTTCCTTATGTGCGACTTGGAGAAAACACATCATAGGACTGTCAAGACAACTGTATGAGTGAGCGTACTTCAAGCACTTAGAAAACAATGACTGGCACATGGAAAGCCATTAAAGCACATCATCTGTTATTATTAAATAGGCAAAGAGGCTCCCAGTTGGCCATGTGGTCATGGAGATAAACAGTCAGTCCACTTAAAGCCATTGTATACCCAGATAGCCATTCTATTTTTCACTCTCAATAGAGTATTTAACGCATTACATGAGATCGTCAACACTCTGTCGTAAAACAGGCTTCGTGTTGGATGATTTTGCCCAACTGTAGGGAACGGAAGTGTTCCGAGCATGCAGGTTAGGCTGAGCTTTGATGTTTGGTAGGCTGGTGTATTAAATGCTTTTTTGACTGAATTTCAACTTACAGTGGGTTTATTGGGACTTAACCCTGACGTAAGTCAAGGGAGAGCTGTGTTTGATGTTATCTCTTTTCCTCTGTATGTTTAGACCCCAGAGGAACTAGAGGACGATTCAGACTTTGAGCAGGAAGATTATGATGTGCGTAGCCGGACGAGTGTTCAGACTGAGGACGACCAGCTCATTGCCGGGCAGAGCGCACGGGTAAGTGGGCGCTCAGGATTTGGTTGGGTGCACGGGGGCTGGGTTCACCAGACTGGTTCTAGGGGATTTCTGATTTCCACGGAGGGAGTTGGAACCCCAGAAATTCATGGCTCAGAATCCTGTGCTCTCATCCGGCCATCTGGGGTTGTTTTTAGCAATTCACATTTTGCACAATGGACATCGCCACCACTGATTCTGATTCTGTCTAACTCCGTTCTCCATCACTCGAAACATAGCAGCCACATCAAAGCAAACACTTCTGCATATAGTGGATTTTGTGGGGGCTGGAGATCATGCTTAGATGGTTTAGTGACCAAGGGACACACGAATGCTCAGATCTTCCGTTGGCACAGACACCATGGTTCTGCTTGAAGTCTCCAAGCTTGTTAACGACACAAGAGACGATCACAAATGGAGAATTAAGAGTTCTACTTTGTTACAAGCGGGGCTGTTGTTGCTCCACACTCTTGCCCCAGGGTCTCTGATAAACAAGACCACGTATTTTGAAATTGGTCAAGGCCATCAGAGTAGAGAGAGAACATTTCCACCTCCCAGTACCACGGCCAGCGCCGTCGCCCCAGATCCGTCTGCCATGTGACAGAAAAAGAAATTATAGGGACATACTAGAAATATACCAGCTTAAGTTGTGGAGCAAGAAGCAACAGAAAGGTCATCACTCTGGCTGATGTCTGAACCCTCCTGAATGCTCTGAGACACTGTCCATCAACCCAAGTGTTCCGAAGAGGATCGTGGAATCTGATCAGTCCTGTTAGCTGGAGCTCCTGGAGGGCAGATGCAGGTAATCAAGGCAGGTAGCAGGAGATAGAGCTCCTGAGGGTTGCAACAGGGGGCGAGACCCTCCTGCTTTAACGGCTCAGTTTCCATAGGGCGAAAAATAATCTAATTATAGTAAAACTGAGAATCAGATATGCTAATTCTCTTTGTTAAGTTTTACTTGAGGAAGGATAATGAATAGGGAGGCATGAGGTTGAGAAAGAGATGGTGATTTAGGAGAGGGACGAGGAAGCCCCAGAAAGCTCACGCTGGCTTAGGAATTGTGAGAAAGTAGGAAAAAGCCAATCGGAGGTTAAAATAAAGAGAACTCAGTAAAGACCCAGCTTTCTCCTGAGTCAAGTCTTTATACTTAAAATCTCATTTCTCCTGATAGTCTCATCCAACAGTGAAATGATCCGGAAGATACAGATGGACATTGATAGGGGAGATGAGAGCGTAAAAGCCAGAACATAGACGACGTGCGGGCTTTGATTTCAGACAGACTTGGTTTTGAATTATAAAGGGTAGAGTGAGGACCTTGCTCTGTTACGTGTTACTTAGTGTCCCTGAGCGTCTGTCCTATTGCCTGTAAAATGTGGATAATAGACTTGTTTAATAAGATTCTTCTGAGATTTTAATTATTTTTTTTTGATTTATGGAAGTGTAGTTGATTTACAGTGTTAGTTTCAGGTGTAAAGCGATTCAGTTATACATATACAGATATATATACTTTCTTTTCAGATTCTTTTCCATTCTGTGTTATTACAAGAAATTGAATATAGTTCCCTGTGCTCTGTAGTAGGTCCTTGTTTATCTATTTTATATATAGTAATGTATGTCTGTGAAACCCCAGCCCCTAATTTATCCCTCCCCACCCTTTGCTCTTTGGTAACCATAGTTTGTTTTCTACGTCCATGAGTCTGTTTTTGGTTTATAAATAGAATTTGTATCATTTTTTTAGACTCTACATGTAAGTGATAGCATATGGTATTTGTCTTTCTCTGTCTGACTTACTTCACTCAACATGATCATCTCTAGGTTCATCCAGGTTGCTGCAAATGGCATTATTCCATTCTTTTTTACAGCTAAGTAATATTCCATTATATATATACACACATACCACATCCAGTCATCTGATGATGGACATTTAGGTTTTTTCAAGATTTCAGTTATTTAGTATTTGTAAAATAATGAGCATAACACCTGACATACATTAAGTACTCAATAAAGGATGACTCTGAAAATTGTCATCCTTTGGAAGAGAAATCTTTCCTAATCACAGGCTGGTGACAGCAGAAAAGTACGCAAGAGTACGAAGCCCCCTATTTTAAAAATACCTCGTAGATTCTGTTTACTCCTCTCAAAATGTTGAAAATAGGGAAGTTAAGCTGAGAGTCTTTTGAGCCAGTGTTGGCATAACACAAAACTAATTCATCTCTCAAGTCAATTCATCTTCAAAATTAAGTTAAAACCAGCATTTTTCCATCGATGGCAAAGGGCAAGTTTGAGTCATTCACCCAAACATTCATCAGTTCAAAGTCAGTCTGATTGACTGATTGCAGCTTAGTGTTGATAGAATCCAGCAGCCATTGACTTGCCTTCTCAAAGACTAAGGCATATGGGACAACAACCCTTATCTTGTAATCTTTTAATCACCATCTTGGCAAAATGGCGTGCTTAGTCCCACCTCCCACGAGGAAGAATACAGTCACATTGTGCTTCCATTTCCTGCATGTCACTGACATCAGACATCAAGTCAGTGAAGACAGGTGGAAACAGAAGTCAGGTGGCACCTGTCTACACCATCTATGGTTTCTTCACTCAGTAGGTGGAAGGACCGTGGTCTTTACTGAAAGGTTTTTCAGAGTGAATTATGAGTATGGGCCAGGATAGTAACAACAAGGTGCCCCTGTAATCCAGTCCCTGCTGATTTGCCTTTTGAGACCTGTCGTGTGGGCACTACTTACTGAGTCAGCCTATTTAAGCCTATAATTAAATGATGACAAATCAGAGACATAGAATTACGGCTGTAAGTTGGAAATAAGCGGGTGCATTGAATTGCTGAGATCACAGATGGTGGAACTTGTGACCAGAGAAGTGTGTTAACTTGGTCAAAACTCTGAGGGAGGCAAACGTGGTCTTTGACAAAGGCAGGGGCTCTTTGCAGCAGCCAGTCCTCCCCTGTTAATTCGTGTTTTCATTCAGAGAAATTCATCTCTGAAAATGGTAAATTAATGTAAAAGGAGTTTCGGGTGAGGGAAAAGAGTCTACTGTCCACTCCAGCATTGCTCTCAGATTCTGAACTTGGTGTGTTTGTTTTCTTCGTGGGACCCTGTCTGCTGCTTGTCTACAAGACTTGAGGAGAGAGGGGGTTGGGGGGGTGGGAAGAATGAGAATAATTGTTCTCTCTTCTGATAAAATGTAGAAATGATTAGACCCTTTGATCCTAAACGTGACATCTTATAAAGTCTTTCTTCACAGGCTGATATAGGTAAATTGGTCAGCATCAACTCTTGGACACTTAACCTTGGTGATAAAATATGTCATTTGGAGTCGCACAAACTTGATTTTAAGCATGGGCTTGGCTGAGCTGTGTGGCTTTGGGGTAACTTTCTTAGCCTCTCCATGCCTCCTCTCCATGTGTATGTGTGTGTATATCCACACACAGCAGCCTAGTATGTAATGTCATTAGAAGAACTGCATGATGAAATACATCACGAAAGTTATTATATAATGTTAAGTTGATGAAGAAGGTGATGCTTGTAGCATAAGGTACATTCCTTAGAGGGCCGACCAATAATTTAGCCTGAAAGAGCTGGATAATTTCGACCATCGTGAAAGTTTTTACTTGAATTAATGGAGCAATAACCTCAATTGTCCAGCTCACCTCACAGCTGAGACAGGTGAAGGTGACCCACACCTTAATTACTTGCGTTTATTGTCCTGCTTTAAAACCAAGTGAGTAGAAACGGGCACGTTGAATTTTAACCCTTTTAATCATTATTTATAAACGTTCGTGTACTTGAAGCCTTAACGTTAGACTCTTGCTCTGTGCTTAAGAAACTAACCCTTGTCAGTTTGCAGATCTGTAGACTTCAAAAGTCATTTTTCATTTTGAGATTGGAAAATACAATCATTTTGCGACTGGCAAAAAAGCTCTTTGAAATTTAGATTGAAGACACGATTCTGGGCTGGTTCGTTCTTGGCTTGTGTCAGTAATCTGCATTTTCATTTAATAAGTAAAGTTTAGAACAATCTTCCCCAAATAATTGGACGTTCAGGAGGAAGGCTGGCAGCCTCGGGTGGAGGTGCTCAGAAACTGTGGATTCAAGTCTCTGATGCCACCAACTTGGGCCCCAGGTCAGCAATCTGGACAGCTGTGCTCGGCTCCACGGCAAACAGCAGAAAACCCCAGACCGCCCCAGGTCATCACATCACACACGGAAAAGTGGATTTGTTCTCTTCCCCCCACCCCGGCCATGAAAATCATTTTGTCCTCATGTTGCCTTAGTCTGAGGGAATGAAAAATTGCATGCTATGTATTTTGCAATCAACTTGATTTCAATGTAGCCGGCCTCTAAGTTTCTTCTTTTTTCCTAGCTAGATCGGCTTTACTGTGTTAACATTTCAAACTGCTGAGTTCCATTGATAAGACCTAATTAAAACTCATGTGTTGAATTTTAATTTGATTAACTTGCAAATTTCACAGTTTGTGATCGACTGTTTATAGATAACCTTTTTTTAAATTCCAGTTTGAGAAAAGGTCAATGATGAATTTTTAAAAGCCAAGAGCATTTTAAGAATATTTAGGGAACGACTTCAGCTCATGGGGAGCAGACAGAAGCGGAAGCAAACGGAACGACTCTTAACACACGAGTCACACGCCATTAAGTGCCTTATGCGGGTCGAGCACCCCTTAGAGTCAAAGTAACGTCTTCCCTTGCCAGTCCGCTTGGAAGGGGCCAGTGTTTCCTCAGACGTGTGCCCTTAGAAAATGTTTGTCCGTTCTGGTAACTCCTCTCAAACCACGTCAATGCAGTGAGTGGACAAATGCCTAAGCAGTCACTCCAAAGGTATTTATTTAACGTCTACGCTGTGCAGGATGAGGCCTCTGCCCTCAGGAAGCTCAGAGAAAAGACAGGGCATTAATAGAAATTAGAGGGTCCCAGCAAGGCAGTTAATCTTCCAATGCTAGGCTGCGCAACTGAAACTCCACACGACGCAGTTGGCAGACACGTGTACGCCCTTCAGTGCACAAATTAACCCTCCTGGGACAATGGTAGGTCTGTCGCTTCCTGTCTGGAGGTTGAATGTAGAGTCTGGAGGTCTGCCAGGCAGTTTTGTAGATTCTTTTTACAGAGAAACACCTAATGGATGCTTTAAACGATGCTGGTTAGGACATGTGGGGTCTAAGTAAAACACAATTGTCAGTTTTGTATGAGGTGACAGATGAACCTAAGACAGCGGTGGAGCACCAGACAGGGATGCTTCAGGAACCTTTTGCAAATCCAGAGCTATCTCACATGCATTGGAACAGCTGCCTTGGAATTAGTACCGGATTGCGTATGTGGGTTTATAACAGACCCTTTGGGGCATTAACTATCTTTTCAAATACAGTTTTTAAAAGTACTTTAAAATATTTTTCAAATGATGGTATTTTAAATACTGAACTATTGAATTTGCACCAGTCTGGCTTTTAAAATATGGATTGTAATTTTTGTACACGCACGTATACATGCACACACATACTTGTGCACATGCGTATATGCATCAATCACTCTTACATAAAGTCACACACACGTGCATGGGATTTAGCAGACGTGGCTGTCTGTGTAAGAGGAAGCATCCTGGCAGCTGCTAGTCCGCGGACGCCTTTATGCAAATCAAACAAAGGCATCCCTTGCCCTGGTGGATGAGGCCTCGTCTGCAGGATGCTCAGTCTGGCGGAGGGGCCTGCAGTTTCAGCGGCCTTTGCCCCACTGGGCGGGGGCCACTGTGCAGTGTCTAACCTGCACGGCCATACCTGGTGACGCAGGTGTGCACAGTGGTTAAGCGTGGTGTTAGCTGACCTGGGTTTGAATCCTATTCTGACAGCTTATTAGTCATGTGCTAGTAGGAATTTAATTAACTTCTTTGGGTCTTGGACTTATCATTAGTAAAACAGGGCTAGTCACAGTATTAATCTTGTAGAAAAATGAACTAGATTAAATTTTTGACGTCCGTAAGTCTCTTCGCGCAATCCCCAGTGTACATGCGTGTGCTCGAGGAACCTTACCCATTTATAGTCACACAGTCTCTGGGCCCATCCCTTCCCTTCGATGGCAACTAACTAATAAGCTTACTTAGTTGGAAGGAAAAAAAAAACTAATACAGAAATAATGTTAATCTAATGTTAATAATAATCCCACACACGCTTAATGTAACTGTTTTTCGGACAAACACATAACACATTTATTATTTCATTTGCATTCCACTGTTAACGTCTCGAGGTCATTGTTTACTTCTGTTACATTATAGAAAGTTAAGGATCTGATCCAGGAGCAACAAGGTCCCAGCCCTTGTCAGTGACAGAGCCTTGCTGAGCCCAGTTTTTCTGGGGTTATAGCCACCGATATTTCTATTCGATACCAGCCACCTCTCCTTCGAACAATTCACTCACCTTGCAAGGGTAGAAAGCAGTTTTTGTTTTTCAGATCTTTACTTATTAGTATGTTTTTCTGAAGTATAGTCAGTTTACAGTGTTGTGTCAATGTCTGGTGTACAGCACAGTGCTTCAGTCATACATACACATACATATATTCCTTTTCATATTCTTTTTCATTATAGGTTACCATAAGATATTGCATACAGTTCCCTGTGCTACACAGTAGAAACTTGGTGTTTATCTATTTTATATTTAGTAGTATCTGCCATCTCAAATCCCCAATTCATCCCTTCCCACCCCCTTCCCCCTAGAAGCCGTTTTCATGTGTTATTTTACTGTCCTTTGCAAAAGGTGTAGCCACCCCAGATCATGCTCTCCTGGGCTCTCTTCTGGAGAATACGGGTCCCAGAACCAGAGGGGTGCCAGCGTTGACACACTGATGCACATGCTCCTTTTAATGAAGCAGGTTGCAAATGGTCCTGTGAGGATGCAATGAGGTGACGTCAAACATTTCGCTCAGGGCCTGCGACACAAATGGTGTTTAATAAATACAGTTGATTCTCTTTATTCATGGCCTCTCTGTCCTGTAAAGTCACCGCGAATGCTTCATTAGCAACTACTGAACCGCTGCTCCCAGGGGAAATACAGGGGTAGGTGCCTGAGAGCTGCCAGTCTTAACGTTTCCTTCCGCCAATCAACACATAATCTTGTTTAATAAGTGTTTCTATCTAGATGCTTTATTTGATAGTTTGGGTTCATTAACCTTGAACTCACAGCCGAGAACCCTTAAACTCATGCTTGAACGAAGTTTATCTAACACGCGGATTTTCTCCATCAGGTGCATCGCAGCCTTCTTGTGCTTAGAGACACTAGACGGCACACTTCAGCACTATGAATGTTAATTGGGCCACGTTAAACAGCAAAATCACCAACAAAAAGTACAAAGATGTGACTGAGTGGGTATAGCTCAGGGATAGAGCACGTGCTTAGCACGCACAAGGCCCTGGGTTCAATCCCCGATACCTTCATTAAAAAAATAAAATTATTTTTTAAAGAAAAGTACAAAGATGTGGAAAACGTGGTATCAAATGGACTGCAGAAAGGACTCTTGCTTATAGTATGAGTGCTGGAACAAGAAGGCGGAGAAATCCTTGTTCAGGTTCATCTGGGAACGAGGATGTCCAATGACTCAAATTTGGGGCAGCTCTGCGCACGTCTGTGAATGACTGAAAGCATCACAAACATTGATTAGGGGGTTTCAAATAAATTTAGAGAGTAAACAAATTTGCAAAAAAAATCTATGAATAGTGAGAATCAACTATAGTTCTTTCTTTTCTACAACCCCTTAGCTAGCAACTAATGAAAATCAACCTTTGCTTCCTAGTCCGTTATCTTAGTTCCATCACAACTTCTCTGCCTACATAATTCTAGGCTCTACAGGGAGCCATGGTCGCCCCAGGATTTGCACAGCGGAGGGCTGGGAGTAGGTATGCCATTCCTGAAGTGCCCTGGGTAGGGGATTTTTGTTTGGCAGCTAACCATGGACGACTCCATTAACACGCATAGACCGTCTCCCCACCCTCCTTGGGGTGCTCAGATACTGTTTAAAATTACTTTCCCTTCCCAGAGACAAAAGGCCTTTTTTTCCCTTTCTCCCTTCCCTGAACAGATTTGAGTGTTGAAAGAGGTGCCCTCTTTCATCTGGTAAAAGTTTCCCGAGACCAAATATAAAAATTGTCAGGAATAGATTCTTTTGAACAAACATATGTCATCAAAGCGACAGAGAAGCTCTGTGACTGTGAATGTGCACATACTTTTGGATTCCTGCTTTTTTTTTTTTGGTATGTGGGAATGAGGACAGGGAATTTGGGGACCCTGCTGGTCTTTTCTGGGGATGGAGAAAACGTACTCTCCAGAATGGTGGGACAGCCTAGAGCCTTGTCAGGGTCTGGCTTTGCCATTAACCGGAGGAGGCAGAGTCTGCCTCCCGCCTGGGCTCCCTTTGTCACCAGGGGTCACACCTCTTCTGTAACCCGCGCAGGCCATCATGGCACAGCTGCCGCAGGAGGAGAAGGCAAAGATCGCCGAGCAGGTGGAGATTTTCCACCAAGAGAAGAGCAAGCTGGACGCGGAAGTGGCCAAGTGGGACGACAGTGGCAATGACATCATCGTGCTGGCCAAGCAGATGTGCATGATCATGATGGAGATGACAGACTTCACCAGGTGAGGCCTGGAGACAGGGAGGCAGAGGTCTTCTTGTTAAAAGTAACAGAAGCGTGGCAGCACCTGTTCGCATGTGAAATGCCTGCTGAGAAATTAAAACACTACAGTTCAAGCGAGGGGGTGGTATTATAGCCTGGACGTGGGTAAGTCCAGATCATCTGGACCAGATTCTTAGCAGCTCGGTCCTTTTGGTCAAAAAGAACAGATTCATCTTTGTAATTATCATTGTTTTAATTATCTATCTCAGGCTGATCATACAATCAAACCCCTGGGTCTTGGGTGACTCATTTTTGGTCTATGCTGTTTTATAGTCTGTTTAACTATTACTCTGAAGATAAGATGAATGATTTGCTGCTGTCTCTTTGGAGAATATATGCATCACATATATGTGTGTGGGCATGTAGACATGTTCTGTCCATATCATATAATTACATTCTATATGAAATATAGAATATAATATAATTACAAATAAAATCTATATTATTTTAAATAAATTTATTTAAAAACTAATATTTTAGTTTCAATATTTTAATTTAAATATTAATTTAATAATCAATAATACAAATAAATACTATTTTAAAATAAAATGTAAGTAAAATATAATATAATTATAAATAAAATAGATATACATGTATAATTGCAATATATATTTTATGTAACATAGGTCATGATCCAGCATACACTTCAGCTCATATTTTACCCTTACATGCAAAGAAGCAGGTTCAACAGTCTGATTCTATAGTTCTGACAGGGAAATGAAACATTGCATAAGTTCTAGTCCCTTTTGCTCTGAGCAGTGCTTTTAATAAATCAAGAGACAGTCAGAATTTTGTCAGGAGCCCTTCTCTTCACCCGGGGTCACTGCTGGGTCTGCGTTGGATTTGCAGTCTCCTCTTTAAGGGGAGTGACCTGGCTGTCCTTCCTGTCACACAAAGGGCAAGCCAAGGGACAGCAAAGCTCGATGAAAAGAGCCCTGGATTTTTCATCCAAATACCAGGTGATTTTGGATCCGTCTTTTACCGTCTTTATATGTGAAGTGAGGAAATAGAGAGTCTTCTTGTCAGCGTCACAGGAGAGTTGGGAAACTTTAAAAATTCAAAAAGGTAATGTTGGTGTAAATTATGCTGCCATCCGAATGAAAACTATCATTTTACTGTAGATTTTTTTTTCTGGGAAACAGACACACAGACACACATGAGCAAAGATGTTCTTAATAATTCAACATGGTGTTTGTTATTAAAGCTATATAAGATATGTGGCAATGTCAAGACACTACCTTGGGGTGGTGATTTTTTAATGATTCTTGATTGTTTTTAATAAGAAAGGGCTACAACTGATTATAGGTTATAATAAAGTATAAAGTGTCCCTTTCTCAGCCCCCCTCCCTTTCCCCCTGGCCAGTGTGTACTCATGACATGGCTTGGCCCTTTCTCCAAGTATTTTAAAATTGTTTTTGACTTAAGTGGAATGACTTGAATGTTATGAGGGTGACCTTCGAGATTCTAAATGTCATTGTATTCATTAGAAGTTCAAATTTGTACATTTGGCTAGTCTTCATCGGCATCACTGATTTATTTCACATAAAAAAATTATAGTAGGAAGACGCAGTCTGAGCCATTATTTAAGTCTGAACTTTCTACAATCCAGACTATCATGGTAGCCTCACTCATTGCTCTTCAAGTCCTGTGATGACTTAATTTGCTGCCTTTTAACATTGTATCAGTGCTTTATCTGATGGATATTATGCAATTCACTAATAACATCGCTTGAACAGATAATCTCATCAATTTGAAGAGAATGATGAGTCTCGTCAGGTTGCTGGTTTAGATCAGGGAAACATTTCCTAACGCTCAAGATTCTGCATCACTGTGCCAAGGGAGAGGGATGTTTGCGGGGGTCTCGTTAGATGATATTAAGTAAGACAGACTTTCTATTAATCAAAGTATAGTTTTGAATGTGAAAAGGCGGCCACTTCAATTCCCAAGGGATCTCAGATAATCATTTGATGCTGATTTGAATAATGAAATGTCTGGAATGCCATTGGTTATCATTTTTTCCCCCACTGCCTGATGAGTAGGTTTGTGCTCCTTTGTGAAGGCAAAGGGAGGGGTATAGATATTAGTAACCAGGGAAACAGAAGAGGGTGTGAGACGGAAATGGACCATTTGCTTTCTTTTTTTTTAAATTGAAGTATAGCCAGTTTACAATGTTATGTCAATTTCTGGTGAGCAGCGTAATGTTTCAGTCATACATAGACATACGTACATTCCTTTTCAGATTCTCTTTCGTTATAGGTCACTACAAGGCATTGAATACAGCTCCCTGTATTATACAGAAGAAACTTGTCATTTATCTATTTTATGTATAGTAGTTAGTGTCTGCAAATCTCAAACTTCCAAATTTATCCCTTCCACCCCATTTCCCCAGTAACCATAAGATTGTTTACTATGTGCTTCTGTTTTGTAGATGAGTTCATTAGTGTCCTCTTTTTTCTCTTTTTCGATTCTATATATGAGTGATATCATATGGTATTTTTCTTTCTCTTTCTGGCTTACTTCACTTAGAATGATGATCTCTAGGTCCATCTGTGTTGCTGCAAATGGCATTATTTTATTCTTTTTTATGGCTGAGTAGTATTCCATTATATAAATATACCACAACTTCTTTATCCAGTCATCTGTGGATGGACATTTAGGTTGCTTCCATGTCTTGGCTATTGTAAATAGTGCTGCTGTGAACACTGGGGTGCATGTGCCTTTTCAAATTTGCAAGGAAATGAAGGTTTTGATGGAACACAGGAAGTGGAGGTTTAGATGGGACACAGAAAGTGGAGGTTTAGATGGGACACAGGAAGTGGAGGTTTTGCTGCTGCCTCCACCTGCAGAGCCTCTTCCTTTGCAAAGAGGGAGCTGATTTGAGCCTTTCATGGTGCCTCTCACCTGAGTTCACCGCACTTGACCACATGCATTATTATTATTGCCCTTGCATTTTCCACTTTAAGGAGGGGTAATTTCAGCTCTGGACCTCTAATGACTCTTGTGTACTCTTTTTGCTTATTTAAAGGAAAGTATAGAGCTGAGTAGGAGTTGCAACTTGACTGCTCTCCTCACATCATATGTTTAAAGGGTATTTGAGTGCAAAAAAAAGCACAAACCTTGGCACTTCTTATCTTGTTGTTTTATTCTTATAGTAGCTAATTCATTAATTTGATTCAGTAATCTCAATGATACCCACTCCATTATCATTAATTTGCCTCATTATTTGTGTAATAACTTCTTCATGGAGGATAAACCTGATTATGCCTCCTGTCTTTTTCCTGTTCAGTTCTTGACTTCCATCTCCTGGGCAATCGCAGAAGCTGTGTCCGGCAAAGGGTGAATCTATATTTCTCATGTCACTTGCAGAAAGAAATAGCTTGTGCCAGTCTTGTACCCCGATAACAAAAGCCGTGCAGAGGACAGCAGGTCAGGAAAGACACCAGTGCTTAATTGTATAGCAAGGGACAAAGCTGTCTTTTGAGAGCAACTGTCACTTCCGGTCTTGAAAGGAACTGGGTTCAGCGTTAAAAACAAAAACAAAAACACAAAAACATAAACAAAAACAAAAAAACTTTCATGGTACAATCAACTATAAAATACTGAGCAATGGACTTTAAAAATATCATGTAATCACCCCACTCTTCCAAAACTTCATTTCTGCTTTAGTTCAGACACTCAATACTTCAGTCCAGGTGACAGCCTGACTAATCTTTCAGTTCCAATTCCTGACCCTTGTCCGTCCATGCCGCACCATGTCTGGCCATTCAGGGACATCCATCCAGCTCCCTTTGCACCAAAACTTTGCCTGACTCCTCTTTTCATAGAAGAAAATAAAAATCTTGAGTTTGCTATCCAAGGCTGACCTTTATGGACCCTTAGATTTCTTCTCATTTTTGTGCGTATCTGTACTTCAGCTTCAAGACTGTAACATAGATGTTATCTCCTTGAATAGTTCAACTCATCCTGCAGTCTCACCTGACTTCGCTTTAATCCCCAGATTAATTCAGCTTCTCTGCTGTGCTGTCTTTGGACGGCTTCAGCTGATCGGTGAAGTCTAGTCCCCAAGGACGCTTCATGGACCTCTGGTTCTGGAAGGAGGCTTCCACGATGCAGTACATTCACAGATAGACTCCGTACTGACTCCATCTTATTACTGGACAGTCACATCATATATTGATCAGTTAGACGTACTGAGAAAGCGAGAGCAAATAAATGGTTTTAATTTGGACTAACTCAGAATGTAAGGATGCCGGGTACTGAGCACATTAACTCCAGATGCACTCACATATTGATTTTTCACATTAATACCTCCTACCTTTTCCTGAAATAAATATGAGTCATTTGTTAAATTGTAGATAGCAGTGATGTGTTAATAGTTTTCCATGACTCTTTTTTTTTTTGAAGTGACCACTTCCTGGGAAAGCTTCCAAATATTGGCCCCTGTATAAGAATCACCTGTTACCAAAATAGACAGGGTTACATGAATCTATGTGATGGAGCCAGTTCTATGGCTAGATGTTTTTCCAAGAAAAGTGAAAACATGTTCCAAATAGAACAGTAAGATGGCTTCTGTCTTTAAGGTCACAAGGTTCCTCAAAGCACCTTCTAAGATGCCCAAAATAAAGAATCTGATGGAAGTTAGAGAAACACAAAGGGTATAAACCATCATTTTGAGACAGTCCCTTTGTTAGCACTGCTGTCTACCTATAGGAAGACCCAAATTTCTAATCTTCTCTTTTCTGGGCTGGTACACACATTTTTTTTTCCTGTTGGCCATTTGTTTGTTTGTTTGTTTGTTTTTGTTTGTTTCTGTAATGTAAGTACATTATTCCAATGACTGCTGTTCATTTAGACCTGTGCTGTCCAAATAGAGAAGCCAGTAGCCACATTTGGTGGTTTAAATTAGTCGTATTTTTTTTTATTACGGTAAAAAATATATACAATAAAATTCACCATTGTAACCATTTTTAATTATACAGTCCTGTGGCATTAAACACATTCACTTTGTCGTGCAGTCATGACCACCGTCCATCTCTAGAATGTTTTCATCTTCCCCAGCAGTAACTCTGGCCATTGAACTTAACTCCTCATTCCCCTCCCCTCCCAGCCCTGGGCAACCACCATTCTCCCTTCCGTCTCTATGAATTTGACTACTCTAAGTATCTCATATAAGTGGAAATGTACAGTATTTGTCTGTTCGTGACTGGCACATTTCACTTAGCGCAATGTTCTCAGGGTTCCTCCGTGTTGTAGTTTGTGTTGGACTTGCATTCCTTCTTAAGGCTAAATAAATGTTTATATCATATTTCATTCATCCATTCGTCTATTCTTGGGCACTTGGATTGTGAATAATGCTGCTATGAACATGGGTCTACAAATATCTCTTTGAGACCCTGCTTTCATTTTTTGAGCGTATACCCAGAAGTGGAATTGCTGGATCATATGATAATGCTATGTTTAGTTTTTGGAGGAACCACTGTGCTGTTTCACACAGCAGCTGCATCATTTTACATCCCCATCAACAGTGCACAGAGGTTCCAACTTCTGCACACCCTTGCCAAGACTTCTTTTCTGTTTCTGTTTGTTTTTCTAGTAACCATCACAAAGAGTTCACAAAGAGTGTGAGATGATGTCTCGCTGTGGTTTTGATGTGCATTGTCCTAATGATTAATGCTTGAACATTGTTTCATGTGCTGATTAGCCATTGTAGATCTTCTTTGGAGAAATGTATATTCAAGTCTTTTGCCCATTTTTAAAATCAAGTTGATTGATTTTAGTATCGAGTTGTAGGAGTTTTGATACATTCTCAATATTAACCTCTTGTCACAGAATTATAGAAGGTGTCCATCATTACCCAAGTTTCAGCATTCATTCCCAACCTATGCAATGATAGCATTAAACAAAAATGCTACCTTTGGTGCATAGGCTGAGTTCAGCATCTTCTCTTTTAAAGATAATACTGTTATTCAATAGTAATTATTCAATAGTTACTATTAGGGACAACCTGGCACTTGAGCTAACTCCAAAATAGCACAACTATTTTTTTTTCTACATCTGCCTTCTCTTCTGTTTGTGATCTGGAGAAAGTGGGTCATTTCACTAATTCTATATTCAAAGAAATCTGGGCCTTGAAACGTTCTTAGAAGCATCTTGTGTGATTCTCAGAACCCTATACCAGATATGCAGGATTTCAAGAAGATCTGAGTGATTTTCTTAATTCATCGTGATGAAGCCATGAAGGTACACAGTGCTTTAGCTACCTTTTCACACTACAAGTACTTACAACCATCTAGCCTCTTCGTTCGGCAGTCGACAGTTTTTCTTGTTGATTAGAATGTTTCATGTTTTTATATTTCCATTTTATTTTTCAGTCAGTATTTTTATATTTTGTGAAATGGTCACCACAGTAAGTCTAGTCAACAGCCATCACTGTGCGTGGGCGCATATTTGTTTTCTTCCTTTTCTAAATTCTGGAAGAGTTTAAGTATATAGGGATTATCTTCTTTTTAAAGGGTTAGTAAATTCCCCTGAAAAACTCTCCGGATTTACTGATTTTTTTGGTCAGCTTTCTCTCTGACAACCTTATTTATTTCTTCCATGGAAATCAGACTCTGTTGATTTTTCAGAAGCTCCTTTTTGGTCAAAGTTGGTAAATTATATTTTGATAGAAAGTTATTTCATCCAGGTTCTCAAATTTATTTACATGCATTTGAGGAAGGTAGAGTTACGATACTTTCAATTTTCTCTTTTCTAAGTTTAGTTAAATCTTACCTTTTTTTACTTTAATTTTTTCCCTTGAATACTTTTAACATTTTTTTAAATAGAAAAAATGTATTAAAGTATAGTCAGTTTACAAACTTTTATTTTACTTTTGAATATTTGTTTTCCCTGTTTTTTTCTTGATAACAAGCTAAGTATATTTTCTGCATCAGTTTTACCTTTTTGGGGGGAGGGGAGCCAGTTTTCAATTTATTTATTTACAGGTTTATTATTGTCTAACTCATAAATCTCTTCTTAGAACTTTGTTAGTTTCTTCCTACTTCTTTCTAAATTCTTAAGTCAGATGATTATTGTTTTCATTTCTTGCATATTAATATCTGTAGTTGCCACTGTTTGTGTTTCTCTGAGGTCACAACTTAAGCTGTCTTGTAAGAATGAAACACATACAGCAAAAAGGGAGCTAAATTGCAATTAGGGACACAGAGGTCCCAGCCCTAGTTCTCTGTCACTCTCTGCATTATCATCTTGGGCAGGTCATTTAGCCTCCTTCCTGGGTTTCAGTTTTCTCAATTAGAAAATGAGGAAACATTTGATGATCTCAAAACTTCTACTTTGCTCTCCAGTTTCGTGAAATATATCCTCATCATCAGCTGGTAACTCCAAGAATTGAGTCTACAATGTTAACTTTAAAGTCTTAAACATTTTTAATAATAATATACTAGTGAGTCTACAAACCATGGTCTCTGGTGTAATCCCCAGAGACGTGTTTCGAATCACTCTTTGGCTGCCATATGGGAGCCTGAGCCTCAGGTCTCTATCAATGCCCTTTACTGACTAAGCACAGTTTATTAGAATCAGTCAGCTCTTGAAAGTGATCATGTAAGGTTCATGAGAGAGCATTTCCACAAACCCTTTGAAATACTTGAATTCAACAAACACCAAGATTGTTACTAATGAAAAAATCATACATAGTGCAGCCCTTTGTGAATGGGTTAAGATGAAGGCAAAAAGTAACAGCAAATCTTGTGTCCGAGTAAAACTGCAAAAAAAAAAAAAAAAGATTTTCTAAGGTCTGAAAGTGTCGGAGAAATAAATAATAATGAGAATATTATTAAATATTGAAAGATTCTAATCTAAACTTTCCTTTCAAATGGAAACCCAAACCAAAAGTTTATTTGGACATAATTTTAAAAATATTGTTAGAGGAGAGAGGGTATAGCTCAGTGGTAGAGTGTGTGCCCAGCGTGCACAAGATCCTGGGTTCAATCCCCAGCACCTCCACTAAAAAGAAGTAAATAGAAAGTTAATTATCTCTTCCCTCAAAAAAAAAAAAATTAAAAAATGTGGGAAAAAAAGTTAGAGAATGGGAGCCATATTTCCATGGAATCTTTAATGCACCCAAATTATATAAAATTCGTATGTAAAATTCCTGTCCATATTTAAAACTCTATACAGCAACTGAAGAAAAAGTCAGTGAACTTTTTTGTGGAAGAGTTCATGTTACCAGAGCAAAATGAAGTCTCTCAAGTTTTGAAGTCCCCTATGTACCTGTTTCAGCGTTGACATGAACACAATATATTTTACTTTTAGTTACTGACGTTAAAAATGCCAGAAGGAAAATTAAGAGGGAATCGCAACAAAATGCCCTTCATTTATGTTTATTTACTAAAGTCATTTTACACCTTCCATTTTATAAAATGTTATTATATAACAATGACAGTCATTGCCTACTCTGTGTAGCCCTATGCGTTCTGAATAAATCACTTCTGAATAGTTTTGCTCTATATCTCACCACCGGTCTAACTAGTGGACTATAATTTTGTAGCCTTAAAAAAGGCATTGATTTTTAGATACATAAAGGAGACCAGTAACCATGCTAAAAAATATAATAATAAATGTATTTAATCTATTATTTTATGTGCTGCTCAAGACAAGAGATGAAAAGTTGTACCATAAGCAACATTTTGTTTAAAGATTTATGACACAGCCTAGTTTCCTTTTCCTTGCTAATAAATATTTAAAAGACATGTAATATTAAACAGTTCACCTAATTGAAAACTTTATATGGAAATATTGGGGCAATGGTTTGGCAGCGGAAGACATCGACTATCACTGAGTGTTTTGTGTGTTCCTTCGTAAGTCAGTCCCAGAAGTGCAGAAACCAGCAAGAATAAGAGCTCAACAGATTCCTGAAATTCTGGCCAAACAGTTCTCAGTTATGTGCAAGAGACAGTGGTTTCTCGAAGTGGACTTAAAAATATACTTCATGTAATAATAGTGCTGGGCATGGTATGAAAGACAACGTTTGCACATTTATTTTGGCTAGACTCGGATTTAAATTTAGAATTTATCACTTATGATTTGCATAAACTTAGATGAGTTGACCATTTCAGTCGATTCTTCTCTTCTCTAAGATGAGAATGATGATGCCTCTTTGTTAGGGTTGTGAAGACAAAACTATACAACGTGGTCAGCATTTACGTGTGAAGTTCCCATTGCCCTTGTGGCGGTCATCTTTGTTAATGGACCACTGTTTCAAAATATAGCAGTTAAGGTCAAGAATGAAATGTGAGCATGCACATCAAAATAGGGGAAAATAGCCACTAAAAATCAGTGGAAGAAATGTGGATTATTCACCTGGAAATCAAAGTGAATCAAGAAAACATGCGCATTCCTTCTACTGTGGCCAGAGCCAAATCAAACACAAGAGCAACAACCCGGACAAACAGCACGGTAGGTCTGTCTGTTTCCCGCCGTGAAGTGGATCACTAATTATGCTGTGTATGTTGTTTCAGAGGCAAAGGCCCATTGAAAAATACGTCTGATGTCATTAACGCCGCCAAGAAAATTGCCGAAGCAGGTTCTCGAATGGACAAATTAGCCCGCGCTGTGGCTGATCAGGTAGAAGGAGGGGGAGGGGGAGGCACATGCCGAGTGGAATCGTTAACTAGCACTTGGGTTCTGGATGGGTTTTATGCGCCCTGTAAAATGCCCCTGAAGAACACTGAACTGTAGAGAATCGCTAACATGTTATAAACTGGCCTCTAACTTTGCTGGGATTGCGTTGACGGCAAAGGTAGATTCCGTTAAGGAGGGTCTTGTAAATCTAGCGATCAAAATTCCTTGAGAAACAAGAGTACCCACTAGAGAGACATAACCCCCGAAGAATCATGGATTATCCAGCTGTCCTCCTTCAGAAAGTCAATCACACGGCACCAGGGGGAAGAAAAACAAAGAACTTCACTCCTTTAATATTGATCTCACTACAGTGGTGCTCTTTATAGTTCATAGTCAATGCCCTGGCATTAATGGGATTGTTCACCCAAATCAGGAACATCTAGAGTTCAGCTTTGTTTCCATCCAGACTCAAAGGGATCAGAGATTAATGAAATTCTCAGAGTATCTTTTATACTTTCAGATGGAACTAAGATACGTGAGAAAATACTTGTCAGTTTCACTCTGGATGTTTCCGTTTATTTCTAGACTTTTCATTTAATTTTGCTGACCTAGAACCCTAAAAGCCTGTTCTAAATAATCTTGTTGTAGTAACGTTCCCTCTCTTGTAAGGAGACTTTCAGCAGTAGATTTTCCCAGATAACTCCTCCTTGTCTCTTTCAGCAACAGCAGCTTATAACTTGAACCATTTTATAAAGGAAAATGTCTTAAAATGTAAATTAAGATTCCGAAATAGAAAATATTACATAAACAGTAATTTACATGACTTTGTTTGCTAGACTACAGTCATGCACTCTGGAGCCACGGAAAGATACAGAACCATTTCCTTCTCCATAGACGGCGCTGGTCTCCTGTGATTCTTGAGTTGCTTTTTATAGTTTTCCTCCCTCATTCCTTAACATTAGGCTCTTCCTCTAAATACTGATTCTAGAATCCTTAAATTCAGTACCAAATTCACTCTTCTTCCAAAGTCTGAAAAGAAAAGCTTAAGATTAAACTATAAGGATTACATTTAAAGCAAACGCATGGATTGCCTCACTTTAATTTTTTTACAACTGTGATGGCTAATCCGAGGGAATGTTTTTTGCTTGCTTTTGAATTTTTGAGAAAGATAATTCATTAAATATCAATGTAATTTGAGAATCCCCTGAAATCTGTAGGGATTGAAGACCATCATTAAATCGCTAGTTTCAGGGCAATACCAACTGCCAGGCTTCTTGAGTTTGCCGAAGGTTGAGTTCCTCTCTCCAGAGTTCCAGGTGGATCCCCAAAAGTTCATGCAAAGGAGAGGAGAGACAGTGAATTTTCTTGAGAATGTGCATGCATGCACGCAAACACACCTACAAGAGTGCTTCATTCTTTTCTGCAAATGTTGGGATGAATGGAGTGACCAGAGATTTATGGGTGACTCTGAAATGAGTTTTGTTAGCATGGACTTCTTCCTGGGGGTGAAAATGGGTGGCTTTTGGATTGCTTTTCCATTAGACCCTGAATATCACTGGCGGAAACTGTTTCTCAGAATATTTAGGCTCCTTGAGTTCAGTATTTTTCATTGTGGTTCTTGTTTCTAATTTTGTAATTTTGGATCCTTATTTCCAACAACTGTGCAACAGGGAGGCTAGTCCCGAAGAGTTTTGACATCCGGAAAACACACCACATGCACACATACACAAATCCCAGGGTTCTAGATCTATTTTGAGATTGTGACAAAGAATTAAAATGCTAGTTAAGGATGACTTTAAAGAAAAAAAACAGATGAAGTTTTAAACATAGCCCTCTCTTTGTGGCATTCTTCCTGCCATCAGTTGTGGAGCAACTTGTGATTTTTGCTAATGTTTTGCCTGAATGGCGCATCTCTTTCTCAATTCTGTACTTATTTGTATACTGTAAGAGTTAGTTTTCTTGATCCCTCACGCCTTGCTGTGTTTTAAATACTTCAAATAACTGACTAGAATGAGCATTTCCAAAGAATGGAAAGGTCGCCTGTATTTTGCCTGAAAATATTTTTATGGAGATTTGAGATATGCACACAGTAGAAACTCTTTATGGACTGTTGCATTTTTAATTACCGTTCCTTTGAGATAGAACTTTCATTTTAATTTGCTGCAGGATATTTGTATCGAAAGCCTTGTCAGCCCTCTAGGGAGACATCATTTAAAAGTTAATTCCTTTCCCTATATGAGTCTCTGGAGTAGGATAAATATTACAGTGTTAAGTACGTGTAGAAAGCGAAAAACAGTCTCTGTGGGATTCTTTCTTGATAAATGCAGTCAGTGAAAAAAAGACCACAGTGGTAAGTGTTATGTGTAAAAAAGACCCCCTTGTCATTTATTAAATAAATGGGCTGTGGCCAATGACTCGCTTACAGTATTAATGAAAGAATTCTCTTTCTTGAGCTTGAAGGAAACTTAGCTTGAATCTTTCTCTCATACTCTTTTTCTAAATAAGACACTTTGGTTTCGGCTGGAAGTAGTCATTTCTTAAACTGTTCCATTGAGGCTCTGATGATTTGATGTTTTTCACAAATGCCAGATTGAACTGGAGCAACACAAAGTCCTGGAGAATTTTGAGCTAAGCTTTCAGTAACAATAGAAATGCATTTCAATTACGGAATAGCCGTTGGCATTGAAGCTTCGGAAATGCTTTAGGGCATCATGTAAATGTCTGTGGAAGTGTTCAGCGTAGCTCAGTGTGTATTTGATGGGCGTCTACCCACTTAAGTTACAGAGGGAATTCAGAATCCCTGGCCACAGTTGACTCCGGTGCATCCTTGGAACAGTTCTGTTTTTACTCTTATGAGTGCATTTCAATTGGCTTCAAATTAATTTTACTCAAATCTATTTCTTTCACAGTGGTCGTGGCCCTTCTCAGAGTCTCTTGTTTAAAGGAAGTTTATCACGTTGCTAAAACTTTAATATAGAAATACAAAAAGTGCCATAGAGTTGCTTTAAGGAATGATGAGTTTCCTAGAAAGCTAAAGGAAGCAAGTAATCCCCTCCCCTCCCCAACTAATTGAATTGAAACTCTTCCCTATATTATGGCAAAGAGACAGCCGCAAAGAATGACTCCCTTCTAGGGTCTGTCGCTTTGTATTAAAGTAGCTTTGCATGCAGTGAACACTGAAGGGGCCACCTAGGGAAGACCCTGCAGCATATTTGGTTTTCTTAGTCGCTTAGAGGATCCCTGATGGAACACTCATCAGTGTGCACAGGAGTCCCAGAAAGGCTTGCCGCGAGATTTTCAATATTCTTCTTATAGAATTTTATCAAAGTAAGGCTGACCATTCTAACCTGCACCCTTCCTAACATGCACTATAAAGACGTCAAGTTGGATGGATGTGACTCAGGTATTTGACACTGAAACCTTGTCTTCTCAGAGCTCTTATTTAGCAAGTGTTAGAAGCTGAAAAGTCCTTACTAACTGAGATCGCGTTTGTTTAATGTTTTGTAGTGCCCTGATTCGGCGTGTAAGCAGGACCTGTTAGCCTACCTTCAGCGAATTGCCCTGTATTGCCATCAGCTCAACATCTGCAGCAAGGTGAAGGCAGAAGTCCAGAACCTAGGAGGAGAGCTCATTGTGTCAGGGGTAAGCCGGGCTTTGGGCTTCAGAATCTGAGCTCCCACTGCTGCGCTTCCGAGGCAAGCATTCTTGGCAACAGTACTGCTCAAAACACCGAACTGCAGTGATTCATAGGGAGGTGTTTTTTTTTTTTAAAATAAATGTTATCACCATTATTCCAGACCTTACAATAACTCACAAAGAGCAATTTGATTTTCCAATTACCCCGTGTTTATACTGGCCTTGTAAAATCTCCATTCTTCACAAGAAAACTAATTTCGTAGTCTGGAAACTCATGGCCAAGCTGTGACTATTATAATTATTTGGGGCTTTGTATATTTACTCATTGTAAGTCAGCGTCCCTCTGTGAGTCCTAGTAATTTTCATTCTCTGTTCAGGAGCCAGCCTCTCCATGTGTGGATTGTGTCCACATGTTAGAGATGATCAAAACAGTAGGAATTCCACTCATCAGGTTCCAATGCATACTAGGTTATCAGGAACCCTTGAAAGCCAGCAAATGTTTGAATTTAATACAGGTTGATGTGCTGTTGCCAAAAACTAACAGAGTTGTCAAACACTACAATTATATATTTCTTTGTTCAATCACTTCAGTGCGTCCCTTCTCATGGAAATGTAAATATCCGGTCCATTCTCATCAAATGCAAAGAAAGATGTTCAGGGAACAGAAGAATCATGATTTCTTGGCAAGATTTCCAAATGCATGTGTTGAGGTTCTTCATCTTGGCTTCTTCTCCTCCCTCAGTCCCTTTCTTTTCAACACGAGGTGCCATCGATTGTAAATTATTTGCAAATTCCAAAGTGTGGCTCTGCCACCTAAAGTTCTTTTCCCAGTCACCCGTCATGCTGCCATTTGAAGTGTGGCATTACCAGGAGAATAACATTATCAACATGGTGAATGCCTTGGGAATACCATACTGGTCATGAAGTTCAATTCTTCGCCTAAGTCATTTCCAGAAATTCAGCAGGTTGACCTTTTGGTTAAAATATATATATATATATATACATATATATATATATATGGAAAAATCATTCTTGAACCCAAAGGTTTCAGTTCCTATATTGTTTGGCTTGCAGAAGACAGCTGGGAAAAGAGCTGATCTGGCTTGCATGGAGATGCCATTGGGGAAGCCTGTTCCACGCAGACTCACCCGGAGCCCACTAAATTCTGTGCCTCTTCCCAAAGCATAGTCACCTCTCTGCATTTCCAAAATGATCCTGCTTCAACATTCTTCCACAACCAAGAGCAATCTGTCTTGCAATGTGTCCTTCCCGCCAAGTCGGTAATTACCAAGATCCTCTCTGCCAGGAAGTGATCGAAACATTGCATCTCCCTTGCTTCCTTTCTGATCTTCAGCCTCAGCGGTAGCGTCTCCCATACCATTCAGCTTTCATGTCCGTCTGTATCTGGCACCTGTGGAACCGAGTGCTTTTTGTTTCGCTTGCCTCGTGTGCTTCCATTTGTCACTTTCCAGATCTTATTATTTACGAGCATCCCTGTGACTCTCAGGCCCCACAGCCTCCTCTAAGCCAGGTTCCCTGGCAGCGTTGCTCTCCGCCATCCTCTCATTGTCCGTCACTGCCAGAGCATCACTTGCATTGTCTTCTCCTCATGTAGCTGTAGTCCGATCCATCACTGGCTTTCATCACTTGCACTGTTGGCATTTACAGAGGTTGTTTGAGATTGAGAGCCCCGTCGAGAAGCCCGCTTCCTTCTTTGAGTCTTGCTGGCAATGTTCGTGAATCCTTGCATGGGAGAAGGCTTCTTTCAGAGGAATGTCAAACAACTTTAGAATAATTCTGAGTCCAACGCGTTATAAAGGTTTGCTTATATTGCTCAGTCATGGGCCTGCTCTTGGCCTCGCCATGATTTGTCCCAAGCTTGATTGCTATTTGGGGCCATGACTGCATCTGAAGTCTGCTACCTTTGCCACTTCTGCCTCCATCTTCTTCTCCATCCTCCTTCATTGTTGGCCAATGGAGAAAAAAAATAATGTTTATTTGGAAAAACAGCCACAAATGACTGCCTTCAAAGTCCTGAAAGAGTCAAGAATGTAAGACCCCATACACACAGACTTGCAATGATTTTGCCAAGAAAGCGCAGCCAGGCTTTGGGCTCCATTTATTTTGTTGTCTGGCATGACAAAGTTGCTGTATTTTTAAGGAGAAGCTATTATAGTATAAAATGCAATCAAGAAAAGAAATCGTTGAATCTTCCTTCCTTTTTCCCTGTGTCTTTATGTTTATGGGATTCAACGCTGTGGCTTCTTTTCTGAAATACATGAAAGCCTCAGGAAGATATATTTCTTGTACTAAGACAGAAGGGGTTTTTGGATAGATTATTTCCACTTTGCCAAGAAAAACGATTTGGATGTCAAAACCGAGCACCATGTTTTTGTAGTCTCATGTTGGCATGATGAATGCATGTTAAACAGTGTGCACTGGAGGACAGTGATATTCCGTGTCAGCGTGTGTATGTTTTATGTGATCCTATGTGTACAAACTGGGGAAGGCTGCTTCTGTTGCATCTACCTTTGGCTTGAGACGTAGTTCAGGAAATCTCAACAGATCAAGGGGACAGTGGGTGCAAAAGCTCTTCATGAGTCATGATGGGGAACTAGAAAAAAAATCTAAGGTGTAAGCCTAATGGTGCTCATGCACGCAGCTGCTGTCTGAGAAGCACCATTAGCTTTTTGGCTGGCAATCAGTTTTCTAAAGTCATTCGCTTAAACTTTCCCAACCGCGGAAAGTTGCCATTCGTATTACATCTCAAAGTAGAAGCTGCGTATTTGTGAGCCAATTCAGCTCCACCTGGCTGCTGAGTGGGGAATGGGAAAGAGAGATTAAAGCAAAGCAAGACCAAACCTGAAAGAGTGCTAGGACTGTCAGAGTGAAAGTAGGGGAAACTGAAGTCCAGGCAGTTAAACAGCCTGATTGATGATATCCTGGCTCTATTCGCTGGTTTCATGTTTGTTTCATCACTTAAGCTAGTTTTCATGTTTTGTGGAGAAAGGTCTGTTGAAGGAAGAAGACAGACGAAAAGAGGGAGGGTAGGAAGGGAGAGGCAGGAAAGAAGGAAGAAGAGAAAAGAAAGGAAAGCGTATTGTAAATTAGTTTAGTGCAGGGAGCAGCCATTAAACGTGACAGCGTTCAATTCATCCTGGGAGGAAAGTTGAGACACTTTTTTTTTCAGTGTGTAAATATATTTGAATACAAATAAGTTCCAATGTCACGCTATGAAAATTACCTGTATATTTGATTGGCATGTTTTTAATTAATTTTTATTCACTAGGTTTCAGAGGATTTAAGAGGTTGTTTTAAATTTAGAAACAGATAATACACATGGATCTGGAGAAATAAAAACCATTTAATAACCTTTGATTATCTTTAACCATCCACAGAGTTACACTTTGTGCATTATTCTGAATGAGCTTGGAAGGACACATGTAGGGTTTTAGAATATAGAGTGAATATCAAGCATTGTGATAAAACCAAAGCATTTCACCTGAATTATTTTTTTCTAAGTTTAAATACAACAGAAGCCCCACTATAACAATGGAGCCAGAACACAAGGACAATCATGCCCTGGGCAGGAATTTGATGTTCAGGTCAGAGGTGAAGGAGCGCCGTCGTAACTTACAACTGACTCCACACGAAAATGCTACAAATTTAATAGGTTATATTGAATCTAAATGTCTTTTTTTCATGCAGACAAGATACAGGGACAGAGTTTAGAGGTGAGGAGGAATGTCATCCCTTAGGCGGTCATAGAGGTCAGGCGGCTGAATAGAGGCCTGACCTACTCCTGAGGGACTGAGCAACTTGCCCTAATGTGCACTTTTGTTCATTTCCATTTGCATCTCTCCTTTCCAAATATGAATTCTTCTCAATTGGGTTATGGAGAGAATTTTGTCAAGGTGAGCCAGTAGAATTTGCAACCCTGGTAGGATCTGAATCGGTAAAGAGAGAATTGGAGAATAAGGGGTCCATTCTAATGATTCTTATAGCCTTTGTTTCATATTATTAAGAAAATTGGGCTCAATTAAAATTAACATAAGACTCATTGTGACAAGTCAAAAATAGTCATAAAAATACTCGGAACTGGTAACATTCAAATCAATCCTGACACTGGCATAAAATCAAAGACACATACGTGTGTGTACACACACGTTTACCCACAGCAAATGCACCTGACTTGTCACCTACTTCCTTACCCCCTGAATAAGAGTAATCAAGAACTGAACAAATGATTGACAACTGTGGTGTATCTGATTCAAAACAATACAATTTGGGGAGGGGGAAATGTGGGATTTATTTGTACAATGCAATATGTGTGTGTGCATATATATATATATATATATATACACGCATATATATGATTGTGGTTTGCTGAGATGATATTTGGAAATTTCTATAGTCCCTCTATTAAAAAGAAAAGAATCAGTATTTTGTGATGGGGTCAAACAGTCGCTGAAACAAGCATTGTACCTAGATGTGTAGACTTGTACTTTCAGCAGCCCTGTTTGGGAAAGAGTCATTTTTTTTAATACATCTGATTCTGTCTATTGTCAATTTTTGATTATCTCCACTGATCAAAGTATAGTAGTCATGGAAAAAACACTTAAGTTGCTAGTTGTTTCAGTTTGGGTTTGGAATGCATTTCTGTGCTTTATTTAAGCAAAAGGGTTTGTGTTCAGAGGATTCACAGCAGTTCTGAAGAATTTTATACAAACCTTCCAGAGGGTAAGCCACTGAGTATTTAGGCAGACAGGACTTTGTCTGATCTGGGGAGAGTAGGAGAATCTAGAACCAAGGAAGCGAAGATTAAAACAAACTTCAGATTATGAATCTGAATGGTGAGATGGTGGAGATGCTCTGTAACAATAGAAAAATTAAACAAGTATTTATCATTTGCAGAAAGGTGGTAGTTCTTTGCACATAATTTGCTAGTATGTCAGGGTGCTGCATAATTCAAACTTTCTCCCCAAATTCTATCCCCTAATCTGTTA